GTATTATATAATCTATCTTAATTATATAATACTACTAGTTTAATAGGTCTAGGTTAGCTATGCCTTTTAATATAATAGTATTATACTTTAAAGAAAGGCATTACTTTTTAAATAATAGATTTTAAATTTACTAATCTATTTTAAGTTTATTATTTCTATTACTATTTTATTAACTTTAAAATCTATTTCTTTTAAAAATCCTATATCTTTTAGCATAATAGCTTTACTATATAATAATAGCAGGTCTTAGGGAGGTCAAATTTCCTATCGATAGACTACCAGCACTCTGACCCAGACCCCCCCTCACCCGGGTAGGTAGTGTGCACCGTGAGTCCGCACTGTCTTCCGACCCGTGCCACAAGTACCGCTACTTAGTTGTTATCACTGGGCAGCAAGATGTGCTCTCGTGCCTGTAACAAGAAAACAATCGTCCACTCCAGCCAGGCTCTTGACTGTACTTTACCAACGGTTTTCCCAGCCCCGACTTCGCTGGCCAAGAACGATACTTACTTTCTATTTTTTTTATACCCTCACTTTGTACTTCATCTGTCTTTCTTGTGCTTCGCCATCTTTCAACTTTTCGGCAACCTCCTAAATAACACCACCCAATATCCAAGAGATAAGCGAAGTTGCACTGCTGATCTAGTTAGCATATTGAGTCCCGTGTCTTCTTGTACTCCGCCTCGGAACTTGAATACCGTGTGTCCCAACAACTCAACTTTCAACAAACTTCGATCTTATCAGCGTGAGGAGAGGGAAAATGGACGGAGAAGCAAACCAAAGTTGGCAAGGAAATAGGATGTCTCCAAATGGAGCGAGATCGAGTCCTGGGCTTCCCTCTCAGAGACGTCACGATGGTAAGTCCCACCCTGTAGGTCAAATTGTCCAAACTTGTATGTTAACTTTTCTAGAAACTTGGGTAGAAGTAGCATCGCAGCCCTCATCTTCCTCCCTGTCCAGTATCGGTGATGAGATTGTTACTACCGGCCTGCGCGTCGGAAATCCATATGTGCGCCGACGACGATTACAGCAATCAGCACGATCGCTCCCTCAACAGCAGACTGCTATTCATAATGTGAACGCGGCCGATTTGAGTAGCCAGGAGGAATACGACGAGAGCGATAGCGAAGATGATCGCCTACTTACCAGCTCGACCGAGAACGCTCAGCCCGAGGAGGAGGCGGATATGGATTCAGAGGCTGAGTCGGATGGTGATAACGTCACCGCGCTCGGACGTGTATCCGATCAACCTACAGAGCGCATCTTTCGACCTCAGCCAAATGCCTTCACTCATCCATCCACCCAACGAAGAGACTCGGCTCCAGCCATCCCAAGCGCCCCTCCTCCTCATCCTCATAATGGTCTTACACGGCCATCCTTCACCCAACGATCACAGACACGGCCCCACCGTGCGGGCCCAAGCTTTATGTCCCCAGCTGTTCGTGAAGAGAACGACGCGGCTCTTCGTGCATCTCTCACTACTCTTCTTTCCTGCGCGCATGCTGCTAGAGGTCTGCCCAAGTCAAAGGATGAAGTAGAGGCCCAGAGGACCGCCAACGCAGGTGTAGGTCCCAGCAGTCAACCTATGGAACTCCGATTTGTACCAGAGTCAGAGCTGTCAACGGAGCCGAGACGAGCCCAACGACCTGCGGGCCCATCTCCACCCCGCAAACGGGGCTCCCCCGCAAGATCCCCTTCACGAACCTCTGAAAGAGGCAAGCACGGCTCCGGATCGCCGACGGTCTCACGGGCTACTAAGAAAAAGAAGGTTGCCCAGATCGAAGAGCCAACCAGCATCTCACCAACCCTTCTCACATGGGTTGTCAGCGCTGGGGTTGTCGTGCTTGTCTCTGTGGTGGGGTTTGGTGCTGGTTATGTTATCGGCCGTGAGGTCGGCAAGCAAGAGGCGCTGGCTGCCAGCGTTGGAAGTGTCAACGAAACGGCATCCTGCGGCCAGGAAGTAATTCGATCTTCGGGCAGTGGGCTTCGTAAGCTTCGATGGGGTGCTGTCGGAAAGAGCATTGTTGCTTAGAAGACATGATTCTCTAAATGGCTTCTGTCGTTTCGGCGACAAGTGTAGCCGATACTTCACGAGGGTTGCGAGATTTGTTGGGAGTTGGAGTTTGTAAGATGTCCTTGACGGTTGTTGTTGCGACATAAGTAACGCAGCGGACTTAACAAGACAACGTTCGCGTTCATGTTACCTGGCGGCGGCTCACTACTAATGTATAGGCGAATTTCGAGCATTGATGCAATTTGCGTGCATTTATGGGGATACATGAGGAATTTGACATGCCTTTTGCTCACTCACATATTTTATTGCCTGGCGAGTCTGTGTTTGCTCTTGGTAGATACTCTGATACTCTGATTACAGGCGTCGGTAATATTCCCCTCATGATTTTCACGATTCATAGTTTAGGGCACAGGAATAAATAAAAACATTTTGAATCATATTACCCGGACTCCCTAGGAAGAGCCTCGATTTCATACAGCACAGTATTGCTAACCACCACATAGTCAGAATTTGTTGGCCAACGCCGCGTCTTGTTGGCCTCGTGGACAGTTCAACGAGTTCACGATGGTAGAAATATGTACGGGCAGCTCACCGACTTCTTCTACAGCGATAAGAAGGGGCACGGTGACAGATGAGTTTGGCCTCGAGGCGCAACAGACCCTATCGAACTGATAGGCTAGAAGTGTTATTTGCAGTTGAGACTTGTGGCTGAGAGCTTATTCCGGCAGAGAGAACCTAGTTCACTATTGTATTGATAATGCCCTGATATGGCAGGCATTTCACGTCTTCTGAATTGCGTGAACATTTTTGACACTTGTGAGACTTGTGGTTTCGCAACCGGTATCGGGGCCATGCCGTGCAGTCCGTAGAGCCATCATCGATAGAGAAAACTGCACAAAAATCTCAAACCCGCTGTTTATCCTCAGATGCCGACCATTCTCCCAGACCTCGTCCGGGCCGTAACGTCAATTCGGCGCCGGCCGGGACGGATAGGCACCGGTGATTGGGACTATTCTTGACTGTTCCGTCTCACGAATACGGAAGGGAGTCGGGCGACGTTTTACTTCTTCATATAAAATGAGCCTCGCGAGCGTCAGCCCATCTTAAGCGGGGCTTCGTAGGCGAGGTGGTTTCTGTGATCGGAGTGATCCGGGGCTGGGAACAAACATGATATGTTTTTTATTTAAATTGTTAATTGCGGCGACTTCAGGGGTAGCTTCCGAGTGTTTGGTAGCATTTCTGGTGGTATCGTGGCCTCGAAAGTTGTCAAACAAACGTGTACATCACAACAGTCTCTTAGGAGTGGCCCTTGAATTGAGCAACCTTTCTAAATCAATGGCTATCTGTGCTTCCAATTGAGATCATAGAGCATGCAGGACTTTGTGAGCTCTTTCAAATTTTGAATCGTACCTACTGTTGCAAGAATTCCATCAGCCATTAGGTAGCAAATCAACATGTGAATCCTGATACGTCTTTTCATCCGCATTTTCTCATCCTGGACACATCAAAAAGCCATTGACCAATAAACAATATGGTCTTATTCATCGAGGACCCTGAAAATGATTCGAGAATCGTCACATTAAATAGCCGGGTAGTTCACGGCTGATCAAGAGTCGGGTTCTTATTCGGACCATAGCGATGAAGCCAATCAGAAACTCCGTGATCCAATTCATCAGACCATTTTAAGAGTTCAGTCTTTCAGTACAAGGGGCAGAGAAGAAAGGGCCGCGACGTAGGTGAATTGGTTTACAAGGGAGAAAATAACATTTTCTACATCAAAACCTCACGTGATAATGGTGTTTGACCATGATTGAGTGATTGTCGAAGGAGGATAAAAATACAGATTGGGCCTATTATAATTAGTAAACACTAAGGTATGTACATACATACACATATTGGGCACTACGTAAGCGATCAATGCAAAAAAACAAATAAATCTTCTATCGGCAAGCAGATAAGAATGCGAAAAAGGAGGGATGGAGGGGCTCAAGATCTGGCACCACAAAGTGTATGCGAATACGAATCCGTAACCATAAGCCAATCATATCACACCCTTTCGTGACGGGACGGCATGGCGCCCCATTATTTTCAGGAACCGTCCATGGGCCACATCGGGTTCCGTTTTGCAGGGCAGCAGGAGTGCTGTAAACTGTGAACCACACAGGGGGCGAGGCAATTCTACGGGCTTAATCTCGACAGAGTCCAGGCGGTGTACCGTGCTGTTGGCTGTTTTTGCTCGGCAGGTGTGTGGGGTCTCTTCTACCAGCTAAGACACCCCAGTCCGAAAAAAAGACGTCGGGGTCTGTCGCAATTACATATCAGTTAATCTCCTTCGCCATCATTCCCTTTCATTTTCCAGTCAGTCTCTTCTTTCTACAGACTCGCCATTGGGATTTCTTGTGCTTCCTGGCGCCGAGGACGATACTTTCTTCTTTTCTTCTTTTCTAGTAATTCCATCCTTCGAAACGGAACGAAAACCCTGATATCCTCCTTACAAAACCCAATCATGGGTCTCCTCCAAGAACTTGCGAGCCACCCGCTCGCACAACAATATCAGGAGCTTCCCCTGGCCCAGCAGATTGGAATTGGCTTTGGAGCTTTCATAGTTCTCTCTGTCGTTCTCAATGTACTCAACCAGCTACTCTTCAAGAACCGTAATGAACCACCCCTGGTCTTCCACTGGTTCCCCTTCGTTGGAAGCACTATCACATACGGAATGGACCCCCCTAAGTTCTTCAGGGAGAACCGTGCCAAGGTACGTTCAAGGAGCCCAAAAATCTAGGATTGAAGACGAGTCTTGGACGCACAAGGCGCCAGAAAACCAAGACTATCATGCTAGAAAACAATGCACGACTAAACGCTGACTTTATACCAGCATGGCGATGTCTTCACCTTTGTCCTCCTCGGAAAGAAAACCACTGTCGCTGTTGGCCCCACTGGAAACGACTTCATCCTCAACGGAAAGCTCAAGGATGTCTCTGCCGAGGAGATTTACACTGTTCTCACTACTCCTGTCTTCGGCAAGGATGTCGTGTATGATTGCCCCAACGCCAAACTCATGGAGCAGAAGAAGGTTAGAAACGACAATTCGATCCTTGCGTAGCAAACATGCTGATAGAAATGCTTTAGTTCATGAAGATCGCCCTCACGACCGAAGCCTTCCGATCATATGTGCCTATTATCTCCTCCGAGGTTCGCGATTACTTCAAGAAGAGCCCTGATTTCAAGGGCAAGTCCGGTATTGTCGACATTCCCAAGAAAATGGCCGAGATCACTATCTTCACTGCCTCACATGCCCTCCAGGGCAGTGTTATCCGTAACAAGTTTGATGAGTCTCTGGCCGCTCTCTACCACGATCTCGACATGGGTTTCACTCCCATCAACTTTATGCTTCACTGGGCTCCTCTGCCCTGGAACCGCAAGCGCGACCACGCCCAGCGCACTGTGGCCAAGATCTATATGGACACCATTAAGGAGCGACGCGCTAAGGACAACGATGACACCGAGCACGATATGATGAAGCATCTCATGAACTCTACTTACAAGAACGGCACCCCTGTCCCTGATCATGAGGTCGCCCACATGATGATTGCTCTTCTCATGGCTGGCCAGCACTCTTCTTCTTCTACCAGCTCTTGGATCATGCTCCGTCTCGCTCAGTACCCTCACATCATGGAGGAGCTGTACCAAGAGCAGGTTAGAGAGCTCGGTGCTGATTTGCCTCCCCTGACTTACGACGACCTTGCCAAGCTGCCCCTCAACCAGGCCATTATCAAGGAGACTCTCCGCCTTCACGCTCCTATTCACTCTATCATGCGCGCCGTCAAGTCTCCCATGCCTGTTCCTGGAACCAAGTACACCATCCCGACCTCGCACACTCTTCTCGCCGCTCCTGGTGTCAGCGCTACCGACTCGGCCTACTTCCCCAACCCCGATGAGTGGGATCCTCACCGATGGGAGGCCGACTCTCCCAACTTCCCCAGAATGGCTAACCGTGGCGATGACGAAGAGAAGATCGACTATGGCTACGGTCTTGTCAGCAAGGGTTCTGCCTCTCCTTATCTGCCCTTTGGTGCTGGTCGTCACCGATGCATTGGCGAGCACTTTGCCAACGCCCAGCTTCAGACAATTGTTGCTGAGGTTGTGCGTGAGTTCAAATTCCGCAATGTGGATGGCGGCAACACTCTGATCGACACCGACTACGCCTCGCTTTTCTCACGACCCTTGGAGCCCGCCAACATTCACTGGGAAAGACGCCAGCAGTAGATTTGGCCCAAAATAATGATGAGACAACACGAAATAAGTTGTATATATGCGGCAAACGCAATGGGCATGCTCGGGAGTTGAGTGTTTTGTAATGGCTGGCTTGGTTTTTCCAAAAAAGAAGTCAATTGTCGTGCCATGCCAGCAAAGATCTGGCGATAGAATCTATAAATTTTTAATAAGCAACGATTAAATTATGAATCAACACAATTTTCTCCGTCTTTCCCTCTCACTGTGATGAACTGATGGCTAGGCGAGCCGATCTCATGGATGATGGGGGCATACCAAGTCGGAAGTTGGCATTTTGACCCCACCAAGCTGAGCGCCATCCATGACGACTGTGCTGCATTCATACCAGTCTGAATCTGAGAAGTAGCTTTGTTATTCTGCAATGAGACTGGCGACACGTCTTTCAGCAGCATTATCGCCAGCTCTGTTTCTGCTCTTTATGAATTCTTTTGTATTGCGAAGATTCACTTGGGAAGCAACTGTTTATCAATACCACTTACATCAGTACCCTTGACCAAAGCCAAAGACCAGCACATCATCCCGATATCATGAACGAGTCATATGGCCCTCTTGTCCGCCTATGGGGCATACGCCCTTCTAAACTCCCAGGTGCAGGGGCACCGCCAGAAGAGCTCAAGGTTCTTCTCTCCTCGATTATTCTCGAAGCCTTGCCTTTCCTAAACTCCGTCCCTTCCGAGATCCCTTCCGTGGAGCCTGCTACTGAACTACAGTCCACAAGTGATCTCTGGAAACACAAGACAGTCAAAACGTACGACGGGTCTGCCGCTTCTGTTCATGTATTCGAGCGTACTGTTGATGCTGAGACTCTTGGGGTTGTAGCGCAGAAGAACCCGGAGCTTGGGATACCACCTGATAAAGCGCAGTCAGAGCTTTGGGCGCTTCGACGGAGTACTCATGAAGCAAAGAAAGAGAAGGGCACGGCAGATTGGGAAGAGTTCGTGAGATGTTTCAAGGAGAAGCACGGTGAGGCGGAGAAGACCTTTACGCCAAGCGTGGTGAGCTTTAAGCGACTACAGGAATGGGATTGCTCAGGCATTGAGATTCAGCTGAACGGCGAAACTTGGATTGACTGGACGCTGCATCGTGAAGAGTCCGTCCATGACCTTCCTGGCCCGTTGTCAAAGCGTGTCTTTCCTGTCCTACAAGCCACAGCTGCTGTCCGTGGACGCAAGGAGTTCCTTGTCGTTCAAATCGCGATCCGGGCCAGTGACGATGCAACAGACGTGGCTAAACACGAGGGCCCAATTCGGGCGGCTTACACAAGTGTTGAGAGGGTAAGAGAATTAGGCGATGGAAGCTTGGAATGGGTGATGGGGACAGCATCTGATGCGAAAGGCTTGGTACCTATGTGGGCACAGAAGCTAGGTCTTTCTGGTGCGATAGCTAAGGATGTCGGTATATTCATGGGCTGGATTGGTCTGGAGAGATTGAAGGGGAAAGATGCTGAAGTTATTGGTGACATTGAATAATGAAGGCCATGGCGCTTGGGTAATACAGACGTTGGTCCTGCACGCGCGAGTGCATTCCATCATTCTAGCAAGAAACGAGCTATTGTTGTACGGTATTTGCAAACGCTCAAATTGTAAATTCTCCGAGTCAAGATCGGATATATGGAATTATTTTGCTGGGTTACAAGGTCACATTTGCAAGAAGCACACCTCGACATTATGGAATGCGCTGCTAAGTAAATCCTATTACTTACCTACCTGAGTTACCTTACTTCCATATCAGACGGAGTGGAAAAGGATTAGATTTCGAGCTGTATACCTACCTGGGTAGTACTTAGGCAGGAGCCTTGGGGCGAATCTCGAGATACTTACCTTGGTAGTAGGTAGGTAGGTACTAAGGTATAGGTAAGGTAGGTGTTGTTCGTGTGTCAGAGGCTTCTCTTGCCTCCTTGCTCTGAACCTCCTCCAAACCTAGCCCCTTCCTTCCTTCCTTCACTCTTCGATAACAGTTTCGGAGCATTTTCACTTTAAGGCAGAAGGAAACACCAATAGATTCAGGCACCTTTCTATACCTACCTGCCTTGGGGAAGGGGATGGGAAAGACAAACAACCTAGGTAGGTAATCATCAAAATCTCATGGAGGCGTCACGTCTCCTGGCCTCTTTTCCCTTCCATCACCACCGGGCCATTCATATTCTGATGAGCATCCTTCAGCGATACCTGTCTCGCTTCTCTTCTCAAGTAGAAAAACTCAATTTGCTTTCAACATGAGCCAGAACCGCCACCGATCAGCTCCTAAGGGAACTGGTGCACCTCTGTCGCCTCCTTCAAGTCAATCCTCGGCCAGCTTTGCTCCAGCCTTCACTGCATCGAAAACCTTCCCCGATGTTACGTATTCATCCACCCAAACAACGCCAAACAGTCCAAAAAGTGAAGAAAATCAGCTCTTAAAACAAGCAGAAGCGCTCGCTAATATGCATTTCGAACTCAACCTCCATACTGTCTTCTCGCTTGCCAGTCGACTTGAAAAAGAAGTCCAGCAGCTCGTTATCCGCACCGCCGATGACCAAGAATTCAGACGCCAGAATGAAGAAAGGATGACGAAGATGATGATTGAGATCCAAACAGTCAAGGCCTACATGGCTCGCATTGGACATAATCGTGAGCCTGCCACACGAGCGGACATCGAGAGATTACAGCAAGCAATGAGTGATACCACAATGGAATGGAACAACCAACTGGAGGACGCAAGGACAAAAATAGATGAGATATCAGGTCGAATGATTGACGCCTCGCGACATGCAGGTGTTAGGGGCAATGAGGCTCCAACAAGCCCATCTCTACTTGGAATAGAAACAAGAGCAATGCGAAAGGCAAAAACAGATATCGCCTCAAGTCCCCACTATCAGCAGAGTAAGTCATTCTGGCCTGGGATTTTGAGACCTTTAAAAACTAACTTATGACGAAGCCCCTCCGAGCTCGTCGAGTCTAGAGTCACGCGTTAACGATGCAATCAACTCAACAAAACGCTGGAACCGCGAACACAAAACCACAAAAATGAGAGAGAATCAGTTTATCATTACCTACCTCAAGAAACAAGGGCAACGAGACCCGGTACTCGCCAAGCTACTGCTTCAAGCGATTCGCGAGCGTGCATCCAACACAAAGACAAAGACTAGCAGAGCAAAGAAACTACCAAGTCTCGAGGAAACTTGCCGCAATACATCGTGGCAAGATGTTATAGACTCAGCAACAGAAGTTCTTGTGGTCAATAAAACACGGACCCTCCAATTTCTGAAGCAAGCTTGAGTGGACAGATTAGATAGGACATTGGTTTATTTTGCCTGGAGCTTAACGAATCACTGTCAAGAAGGAGAAAAACATGCAAAGAATGTTCGGTTCACCATTTTCCATCAATGCTTGATATACGTATACATGGCCAGCGGGTAAAAGTGGAACTGATCCATAAGATGCGCGCTGCGCGGCTCCTCCATTTTAGTTTCATCACTTACCTCACCTTGCCTAAATAAAAGGACATTTCGCATCATTTCCAAGCATCGACTTTATCAGTGCGATTTTGTACCCTTGCTCCCCCGCACTTCAGAGTCATAAGGAACGAAGGACATACCCAGTTTACACTCGCTTGAATTGAGCATCGTGAACTTCTTGAGCTCTCCATTTGCAGCATGTCGACACCGACACCAAAGGATGGCCAACCACCCGCAAAACCTCGTCTGAAGCTTAACGTTAGCCGGTCTTCCTCTTTCGTCGCTGATGCGAATGCGACACCTTCAGTCTTGGTCCCGGCTGGTCCAGCTGCTCCGACTCCGACTCCGACGGAAGGTCGCAAGGTGAAGCTCAAGATCGGAAAATCGCAACCCTCAACACCTGCGGAACAACCTCCAGTGAAGACGAAAGCTGGCCGACAACCTAAGCCCACACAGAAACTCGTCGAGAGCAAAAAGCGCGCACACGAAGAAATAGATGATGAGCTGGGCTCGGCGCATCCAACAACAAAAATAAAACTTAAACCAACGAAGTCAGGGCTCACCCCCACGGTCGTGGTGAAGCCAAAGGGACGCGCACCAGTACATCCGCCAGGAGATGGCTATGACTCAGAGGCGAGCGATCGAGAGAAGGATCCATCGATAGAGGAACAATTTGTTCTGAGGATGCTACCAGGAGAACACTGTGACTATGTGCGCTCGTGCATGGAGAATGGCAAGATGGGTATTCCTCGGAGCCAGGGAGGAGCAGACATACAACTCAAATTCTTTGAGGAGGATTCTCGAAGGGCGGTCGTGTCAGTCAAAGGTCAGCCGTTTGCCGCTGTTATGGTGGACCTGCCTACAGTTACAGAGGCGATGAAGACATGGGATCGCAAATCATTCCTCAAGTCTGCAGACATCTGCCAAATGCTTCTGGTTTACCAGAAAGTTTCCACCGAAGCTGAAGCAAGACAAACACCTCTACCAAGTATGATCGACCAACACTTCAAATGGCCACACGGCCTAACACCGCCCATGCACGATTGCGTGAACCGGCGATTTGCCAAGACCATCAGTCGAAAGGAGATTGAGGATAAAGAAGCAGAAGTCGAACGTCTACTCGCCGAGGATGCTAAAGCCGGTTCTACGCGCTGGGAATGGGTCGACGAGAGCAAAGACGAGGACGAGGACGCCGAGGGCGATATGGACGATGATGATGATGATGGTCGTATGGACTACTTCCAGAGCCAAGATGTATTCGGAGAAGACGACCTTGCAGCCGATCTTGAGGCCGCTTTCGGGGAAATGGGCGATGAAACTTCCGCTACCGGTATGGATGCTCCAACGCCAATGACAACCACACAGGCCAATACACCCGCGCCGCTCCAAGATAGCATTGAGTCGGATGAGTCTGAGGAAGTTTCGGACGATGATGATGATGACGACGATGAGGATCTGGACGAGGATGCTCGAGCGCAGCGCGACGAAGAAAAGGGCGTCAAGTCTTTCATCAACGACCTGAAGAACCAGCTTGCCGGCAAGCAAGAAGAACTGGCCCGTACTACAAACAAGATCCTCCGGACTCGTATTGAGCAGACCATCAAGCAGCTCAGGGCAGAGATTGAGCTCAAGAACTCATCTATCGGTATCGAGACAGATGACTGATGAGGGAGTATAAATCAGTCCATGGTGTATATCAGTTGCTGAGAAGGCAGCTGGGTTTGTGGTGGGTAGACGGCGTTAAGGTGTAGCCCAAGATCTGGGCAAGCGGTGATTTGATTCTGGATTTGGGCCCTAATAAAAATACCACATGGACTATTTCTCACCCAACTGCTAGTAAAGCTGCCATACATCACAAGATGCCCCATTGTGTGCTTGTTAACTGATTTGAAACATGATCTTATACACCAGCATGAGGATAGAGCCCAAACAACACACTTGAACACCATCTTTGTAATATATTTTCATTGAAATAAAACAGGAAAGATTGGTATCTCATCGCTATCCAAAAATCAACGCCAACCAACACTACCTATGCTTGTGACATCCAGTGCGTCTTACAGTTATCCTCATGCGCTTTTGGGCTTTTCACACAAGAGAAAGCATTCAATGAAAGAATGAAAATTTGTCTCTAGCTCACCAGTCGATCCCTGCCCAACCATAGGTTCCATCAACGTTGTGCCAGCCCCTATTTTCCATGCTATCCTCCCATCCCATCATCACGGCCAGTAGGCGGCACCCTGAAGCACTCACCGTGCAAACAATCTTATCGCTCGACTCCGATAGAACGGCTAGATCCATCATATACGCTCGACCGACGAGACTACGGAGTCGGAGCGTTTCTTCAGAAGGCGGTGCCATATGTCTGGCTTCTTCATTCACACCATCGACATTCACTCCTGCTGGTGCTTCAGCCGCATTATTTTTGCTTTGGACACCAAGATTCCAGAAAAGGGGAGCAAAGAAACCGCCCTCCCAACCAAACGTGTTCTCAACAAAGTTATTTAGCGAATGATGATTGCCACTTGCGCGGGCAATCGCACCTTTTGAAGCTAGACGAATTCGATCTTGGGAAAGAATGGTATGAGAAAACTCAGGCTCCTCATGAACTGTGGGGTCGTCCGAAGCCAAGAGAGTGATATGTCGCCGTTGCGTGTTATCTTCCATTCCTGTATTGTTGTAGTATTCGTCCACAAAACGGATGACTTGTTTAAGGTAGACATCAGCCGGGATATAGGTATCGCGATATTGAAATTCGAGTGGATGCTGGTCGCCATGACGAACGTGAAGCCCAATGATGGGTATATGCGTCATGAGACTGCCTTCAGTGTTGGCTTTTGCTTGAATTGCAGTCACACGCTCATCAACATAAGCCTGATCCTCATCACTCAAGATGAATAGATCCTCATATCCAATACGAGCCAGTTCGAAGAGATCCCGCAATCCATCCTCGGTTCCTGCAACTCGATGATTTTGGGCTAGCAACGCCGGGAATACCTCCTTAGCTGTCGCAGAGGAAACGACCAAGTGACGAGCTTGAAAAGGACAAGGAACCATGTGGTGTCGAGGAGGAGGACGACAGTCAGGGATAGGAGGAGCTTCAAAAATCTCGGTCCAGGGTCCGTAGGCCCAACGTTTATCCACAATGAAGAACTCACGGTCAAGTTGCTTTGCTAGTCCGTAAAAGGTCCACAGCATCATGAGTGTGTTACCAAGGCCAGCATCTGAGGATTCCAAAACAAAAGTCATGGTGCTTTCACACACCGGTTTATGCTTCAAGTGCTTTTTATCCACACCAACAAATTTGCCCTTGTTTTTGGTACGAATACCTTTGTAGGGTGCTAGAAGGCCTGATCTCTCAGCATCATATACGTCGATATAGTATTCATCTTTGGCATCATAGTTGATGATAGCCTTTTCGGTGATCGGGGCCTTGTGATGAATGTCTCTCGCCCGGGAAGAAACCTCTCGGCACTGACTGCCCATCTCTGCATATTGATTCATAGTCAAGGGAAAGTCCCCGTTTGGTGGTATAAAGACAGTCCACTTCGAGCGACCCTTGTTGTCGTTGATAAGAATGGGCGTGGGGAAATCCGGGAAGGCATCTTGGCCAACCATCTCAAACTCCTCTTGTCCAAAATAAGGCCATACTGCCGCTGGAATGGCATCTGGATTCTGAAAAGCCAATGCCACAAGGTATGTGATTGAGAGCAAGATACCAAGGAGAAAAAGTCGTCGAAAGACTCGGCTCGGTCGAGCGACCAAGATCTGGCTCGAGGCCCTCTTTGGGGGTCGAGGTACCAGAGCTGGAAGTGCTGGAGAAGCAGGCGGTGAAAAGAATAGGTGGTTGAAATTGAAACGGGATGAAGTTGATGAAATAGGCCCGCGATCTTGGGAGTTGTAAGAGCTAGCTCGGCGCAGGTTTAGTGCTGGCGGCACGACCAGCATCTTTGATTGAGTTGGACCAGACATCATGGAATTGTTGGGAAATGAAGGTAACGCGGGAGAATCAAGCAATATGGGAATAGAATTGCTAGTCGAGAACCCAAAGCTGTTGCTCCGGAATTGCGAATGTAACGATGAAGGATCCGGTAGACGACAAACCAGGTCGAACAGAGCGGATTGAGCTAAAAGGAAGGCCTAAGACGGTTTGCTTTGCTTTGCCTATCTGTGTAACACAATGAAAATTGCCCGTAATCTTTAATGGCAATCGGAAGTGTTCTCAAACGGGACGCTTTGGATTCCTTGTAAGCAAACGAAGGTCTCAGTGGATGTCGTTCGTTCATCTGGCTTTGGTAGACCTAGAGGGAAGCCAGCCGTTGAAGTCGCCCTCCCAATTACACGCAGAAGGCAGTGATATATGTCCGAAGATAAGTAGTAGAGTCAAAACCTGAATGGGCGAGTAGCCAAATGCTCGGAATAGGACAAAAGATGGAATGTAAGGTAAGGAAAGGAATGTGTAACGAATCGAATAAGAGCCCAAGTTGCGAGTGTAGACATCGAGCCTTGGACCTGCACTGCAAAGAACAAGAGAAGAAGAAAGATCCCCTTGGGGCACAAAGGAAAGGGAAACAAGAGTTCTAGATTTTAGACGCTGAGGATATGAAATTCTTCGGATCATGGACTTGAAAAGAAGACGAAGACCGGATGGGGCTCGACCCACGACAAGGAGTACCCTGGGATGGGAAGCAACTCCGAAGCAACGCCTGCTGCGGGATGCTTTGAGCACGGATAAAACATCAGACCAGGGAGGCATAGGTACCTACCAAGGTAGAAAATGTACAAATGCATGGCTACCTACTTTACCTTAGGTATTAACCTACTAACCTATGTCAAAGGGTATGTAAATATTCGGACAGACGAGAGCTTTACACTTATCGTAAAGCCATAATATAAGCAGGAGGACAAAGTGTGGTTTATTTTCCTTCAAATCGTATCACCTCCATACTCATCAAACTGTATAGCATCCCGTTCCTCTGGCCATTGAAAAGAGGAAGCATCGCAAGCTAAGCTTAGTCCAACAGTCGTGTCGCACTGCGTGGGGTTCTTCAAAGACAGATGATTTACCTCAGACTGATTACGCAGGCAGGGGCACAATATGCTGTGCACAAAAGTACTTTCCGCCATGTCATCATAAAATCAACAGGAAACATATCGCGTTCCGGTTGCCGACGATCATCACATGGGCCATCAGATCTTGCGCCGTTTAAGCTGGGAGCTGTTACAGATGCTTGGGAGACAGCCAACTATGTGGCAGCACTTCACGCAAACATTGAGGGGATGAAATGGCCCTGGGCTTACAGGCTGCCCATCAATCGCCAGACAAAGGCTGTCAACGGGATGTGGTGGCTAACAGCCGAAACAGCTATGCTACTCTTCCTATGTGACACTTTAGCTCAAAGCACTTCCAGCCCTTTCATTCGCGGATTCTTCGGTCCTTGACAAACATTGTCACCAGCTAATAAGCACCTCTTACGAGGTCCGAGAGTCTCTCCACCCTAGTCCGCGCTTCTGCAAGGTACAGCTCCTTGCACGTCTTACTGGTACAGGGACAGAGAAAGCAAAGCAAATAATGCTGGGGCCTCCCGGGTTTTCGCTAATTTCAGACCTGTTTCAGTTTAAGGAGCTTTAAACGGCCAAGGCCAATGAGAAAGAGTTATTCTCGTGACCATTCTAGCCATTCAGCTTCCTGCCCGTGATAACTTTAGTTAAAGGGCCACATCAAGTCAACCCAACCAAAAACAATAACTAATCGAATATCTTGGCTTGCTGTTTCAACCATACAACAAGAAACAGCGAACGCTCCCCGATGTTTCGAAGACGCATCCTTCATGGGGCTGAGTAAACCGATCATGTCAAATTAGGACCGGAAGCTGATAGAAACGATATGCCGTGCAAACGGCCGGAAGCTTCTTTCTCCTCGTGTTTTATGTTTGTATCCGAAACACTCTCGGGCCCCAGCACGAGATTAGAATTGTGCGAAGTTGTCTGACTTTATAGTCGTGCCACTATAAAGCCTTGGGCACCGTAAAGGATTCAATGCGATACGCTTCATCGGGGGGCTTTGTTGTTCTAGTGACCTCGGGGCTTTAGCCTGTGTCTCAGTGCAAATGTGAAGCACATCACAACCAAGTTAGTATCTTGGAGGGCTCTAATCACACAAAACCTTATACATCAACTTACACGTCACACATCTCTCATCAATATACATGCTCGAATCTCAGAGTTTCTTCATTCTTATCTCCATCTCATGTTTTTTCGTTCCCCATCATTAACTACCTGCAACAGCCAAATGCCGCATCCTGTTGTTGCTGTCAAATCTCCCGCTCTCAACTCATCATGGTATAAGTACATAACTAGGCTCTCTTCCCCAAAGAATAAAGTAAAACGAAGGTAACAATGCCCTGTCAGAACGGTGGTTGCCCGCTTCTTGGCACAAAGAAAATTGTTCGCAAAACGCAAAACGGGCTCTACGGTGCGCTGTTTCTCACCAAGTCCCTGAAACAAACATAAAATGCGGCCGCTTGCATGAGCCAAGGGCGGAATGTCTTCATCCTTCCGTTCCCCTTTCCTCTCGCCCAGCGACAAAAGAAAGTATAATCGGGTATAACGCAAATAAACCCCCTTTTCCCGCAAGAAACAATGCCAATTTCCATAAAACGCCTGTATGCCTCAATAAGTCTCCGACCCGATTTACTCCAGAAAGGGGGCGGTATGATGAATTCCTCGGCTTTGTATCAACTTCTATGCCTCTGCCGGCATGTCTTTCCGCTCCTCAGGGGGATTCGGCGTGGGAGTTCGTCGTAAAGGCTCAAAGTTGGGTTCTGCTAAGGAGTCCATCTTCTGTCCACCCGCCAGGCGTACGCTACCTCGCTTGCCACGTACCACCTGGCCTCTCTCAACCCGATCTTGTAGCATTTCGTCCAAAAGGTTATTCATCTCGTCAACACCTCGGGTTCGCTTCTTTTCTACCTCCACTGGCTTCGCGCCGATGGCTACTTCAGGATGGCCCTCTTGTTGAGGAGGCGGAGAACGAGGCTCAACAGTCGCTTCGGCTGTGTCGCGTGACCGTGCTGCACTTCTCAAAGCAGCCAACATTCTATCCTTATCGTCAAGTCTTGCTCGAAGATCTGCTATCTCGGAATCTTTTTCCCGCAAGGCAGCAGATACACTGTGATCTTCTCCGACCATAATAGCTTTGTTCGGGGCCGCAAAACCCACGGATGCCCGGCTAGAGCTCGCGCGACGTGCTTGAAGAAGACGCTTTTCCAACGTCGCAATATATCGATTCTTGTCTGCAAGATCGGCTTGTAGGGCACGATTCTGAGCCGTCAAAGATGCTGTACCATCACCAAATTCACCTGCACTATCATCTTCAGCGTCTCCAACTTCATCTCCAATCTTCTGGCCACCACTAGATCGACGGCCGATGGTCGAAGATGCCGATGTCATAGATGATGTACGTTCCATCAGCGGTTTGCCACCTACAGAAGTGGCAACTGACGAGCGAATTGATGCTGGCAAAGATATCTGCGAGAACTGGGAAAACCGGGCATATTGACCGAGAGAGCTTATTGACCCATTCGAATTGACACCGATGGACTTTGAGCTGAGAATGAGGCGGTTCAGATGGTCGATTCGTTCCTTCAGGGCTGTCCGGGCGAGTTGCATCTCAAGAATTTGCTCCTCATGTCGCTCCGCAGCCTCAGCTTCTCTGGCTTTCTCTTCCTCTTCGTTGTGTATCTTTTCTTCTTCCTCCACCACTTCCCCCTTGTTCTTCTTTGCCTGAGACTCAAGTTGCTGGCGCAATTCCGAGATTTCCATGCGATAGCGCTCAAGCAGAACTCGAGCTCCGCCTTCGCCGCCAGCTCCAAGAGCTTCCTCGGCCTTCTTTGCATGGCTAACGATATTATTCTTGGCTCTCGAGGCAAATTTGAGGGTATTAATCGTTTCCAGAGTGTGATTGTTGGCCAAAGCCGCGCTATTACCGGCTCCGATCTGTATCGTGCAAAGAATACTCACTAGAGAATTCCCAGATAAAGCTCCCTGCAACAGCCGAGTGAGTTTGCTATCACGATATGGAAGATGCTTCCCTTCCTTGTCTGTGCCCTTTGCTTCTTTCTCCTTCCACTCTGAAAGTTTTGAAATAACCGTGCCCAGGGTGAGCAGACTCTTGTTGATATGAGCACCTTCTTGTCTACGCTCTTTAGATTCAGCGGCCTTCTCGGAGCCAGCCAGGTCGATTAAGCTGAGTGTTGATACTCGCACGCCACCAGGCAAAAGGCCAGACCGCTTACCCTCGCCTGCAACCGAAACACCTGGTATTCTCTCCCGAGACTCCACGACAATTTGAACGACTGCGTGGCTTCGTGAACTTCGAGCGTTGAACTGTGTACTGGCGGTCCTTCGGGCTTGGTCGCCTCGTGCAATGACTCGCAGGAGCTGCGTAGGGCTCTGAACGATCTCCTCCTTCAGCGGGGTAGCATACACACCGCGCTTGCTGTCTTCACGTAGCTTAATCTCTTCTTGCTGTGCACCCCCTCCAACGCCGTTCGCAATGGGCATACTTAATAAATCATGGATTTTTTCATTGTAAATCTCCAGATAGCTGACTCTCAGCAAAAATTCCCGTGATGGTGTTTCTCGGATGTAAGAAAAGATATCGGTGATGGCAAGTGGAATCACGCCTGGTGATGAAGCGGTTCCTTGCATAGAAAATGTCTTTCCGGTGCCAGTCATACCGTACGCAAAGACAGTACCATGGTAACCCTCCATAACCCGTCGGACTAGCCGTTTCGCAATATGGTCGTATACTCTGGAGTTATTGTCATGTGTCGTGAAAACATTGTCTAAGATGTCAGTCTAGGCACGACTTCATTTCCTTGGGTACATACCATAGTAATGGTCACCACCATCCTTCCCTCTGAACGAGATGAGCGACTTGCGCCCATCGACCATCCACTCACCCTCAGGGCTCCCGTTGTTTCCGTTAGCGTCTGGTCGAACCCTGACACTTACAACGACATTCCCCTTCCCATCATGTTTTGATGCTCGCTTGTCATTTGAGGCATCAGGTTTCTGGCCCGATCCTTCCGCGGGGTCATCATATGTCGTAGCTGATGTCGAGTATGAATCTTGTGCTGAAGAACTACGACTTTGAGGTGGTGACGCAACACTGATCAAACCGTCTGACATGCGTACACTCGTAATTGACTTTCCTTCCCCGCTACCATTAAGGAAGCTTGGTGTGCTCGAACTCAGCGTGCTGTACATGGATTCCTTCGCGACCTTTGAGGGCTTCCTTGTCGATCGGGGTTTGTCTGCGGCCCTTGGACTAGGCGGGACGCCGCTGCTCGAACGTGTATCTCCCCTGGGCGGTTGTGGGAAAGAGTTGATGCTGACACTCTTGCGGAGAGTTTTTCCGGGACCATTGACACCAGAGCCAGTCCTTGGCTGTGGGAGTGCAGCTGACGGTGCCGGGCCTGGGGGGGCCAGGCTCATTGTCGACGGCGTTCGAAGACCGGATCGGGGTGTGCCCGGGGCTGATCTGATCGAGGCTGTGGGCGAGGGGATATTTCCTGTACTCTTGCGCGTCTTGCTCACTGGCAAGGCCGGCAGTGCCATATTGGGAGGCCCGACTGAAGGCCGAGACGGGCGCGGTAACGTTGTCGTCATTGTAACTTAAGATCGAAGGTGCAACAGAAAAAAAAAGCAAGACAAGGATTTCGATGCGCGCAGGCTCGAAATCGGAGGCCTGGTGCTGTAGCTTTTTTAGGCGTCCTGAAAGGCCGGTCGGTCCATTAACAAAGTTAACTGGGAGACAAGGTCGGACGGCTTCGCTCGATTAATGTCACCCTCGAAAGTTTGAGCGTCGAACGTAATATCAGAAGAATGTCGCAAAATGTGTGGATTCTAGTCTTTCGAATGATGGACTAGTTTGGTTGATCAAGGGAGTAATAGATCGGTGGAACGCGGGAAGCTGCGCGAAATCGGATGTATGTCTCTCAAAAGTGGTATCGACTTGGCTGTATATTGTCAGTGACCTGAGAAGGGACGCAATAGCGCATAATAGTGTAGAGACTGTCGCTCTGGCCAGCACAATGAAAGAAAGGGATCGATATTGGAAATAAGCACTTTTCAAAGGAGAATGAAACCGCCAGCAACGTATTCGGCCGTTGAATCCTTTGAGTGGATGATTGAAATGGAAAGGGGGTGGCATATGAGAGAGTGTTCCAGGTGCTGTCTTCGAAGTAGCAACGCAACAGGAGAAGAAGTGAACCCTTACCCTTGATAAAAAGCAAACCACAGAGAACAAGGACAAGCAAGGCTAACGTTAGTGTACCTCGACTAGCGTGGCGGGTAGCCTTGGTTGAGCACGGTGACGATGCCAGCCTCTGACCTCTTGCGTTGCAATAATCGAGACCGGGAAAAGACACAGACCAAGACCGGGACAAAGCGGGTAGTCGACTGCGAACTGGAGATCGTGGACCGAGTCTTGATTCAAGAGCTAGCAGACAGTATTGGCGCAGAAGCGAGTGATAAATGGAGTCTGGCGTCGATGTTTGCAGCTGAGAAGAACAAGGGCAAAAGGAGAATCGGTTTCAGTAATATTGTGTATGCATGACACAGACACATACAGCTGAGATTACCGTGTGAGGTGCCGTGTTTGCCTTGCCCAGACCAATGTTGATGTGGGGAGAAAAGAATTGAAAGAAGCCTTCGAGGTCAGTCGAGTTTGGGGTGGAGGTAAATGGCTAGACAACTGGGATGGAGGTTCTAATGCAGTCCCACCACAGGCGAGGCGCAAGCACAGAGAAGAAAGTGAGGGAATGAGTGGCGTGACGTATAAAATAGAGACAAGGGAGAGTCTTGGGAAAGGGTTATCAGACAAGAGCAATAAGAAAAGAGACATATGACTGACTCCCACAGAATGGAAACGAAGAGAGTAAAAAAGGCTTCGATCCAGAAAATGACGAACGCGGTAGAATGGCGGGTGAGATGCCTACCTCAACGTGCCTGGGCTGAAAACGGCCCGTTTGAGCACCTAAAGCACTTGGGATTTTAGAGGACTGGTACACCAAGTTGAGGACTGATGCGTTCCAACTGAAGCGACCATAGCACTAGCGTGGGGGTGTTCAGTAAACCTTAAAGCCTATGGATCTACAGTATGGCTACCAATGTTTGTTTGATAAAATCTACTGAGTAGATGTTTATCGTGGATGAGATCCCAGACATGGTGTCCTCGGAGGCCTTTGAAGCATCTAGATTGGATGCGAGCATGCATCCTGTGACCGCAAGGGCTTTGAGGTGCCGCTGCAATACTAGAACAAGGACTGTAATTACGATATGCAAGCCCAGGTCACGTCGTCGAGTAACATTGCATGCTAAAAAGTCGATTGGCCCGGGGTACACGGTCTAAAAAGTCCCCAGTCAAGATAATGAGCTCAACTTCAGGGGACGAGCCAATCAGAGTGTCTTACCTGGACGCTTGAGGATATCTTCCCCGGCTGGACTTGTAGTCTACGACCATTATGGTTAGACTGGGGGACAGAAGAAAACATCATCAGGCTGGCCATCACAATGCTGCTGTTAAGACTGTTGTAGAGTTCCAGGGAACACGGTTCATTCTCAGAACTGATATCCCTGACCCCCCTCTTCTCATCAAAAGGAAGGGCCATCCAATTGTTATACATGGACCCGAATCTAAACCTTTCCTCTCGCATAAGATTCCTCTACTAATGCAACAGCATGCGCCAGGTAAGATGCTAAAAGGACGGCCCGGAAGTTGCCCTTATTAACAACAGAACAATCCACAAGGTCGTCGGGTTACGGGTAACTGCGTTGTCGATCGCGCCTACAGTCATGTACCGACCTAGCTGTACCTTACCTATAGGTACCTTAGTACCTGCCTGAAGGGAGCTTCTGGCTGAAATCACCCACTTCCCCCTCAATTGGGTCCTTGCGAGGAAGCTACGGCACCTGTGATTTAGCTCCCGCCATCCGAGCAACCTCAAACAGCTAACGCAGGTACTACCGCTTGTGCCTGGTTGGAATAGAAAACTTGGTCCAGAAATGGAGGTTTGTTTCGAATATCATCATCTTCTAAGGTAAGGTAGATATGATAGTACCTACCTTAGGTAGGTAGGTAGCGGACGTGTCACGTAGGTACTGGGTTCGTACCTACCTACCAATGAACGCAGTAATTGCACCACTATGTTGGCGTTAGATCTTGCCCAAGGATATTTGCTCACGAGCACTAAGATTAGTAAAACTTTTATGTTTCATATACAGCTCCTTGCTTTTGAGCTGAAAATTCTCCATCATTAGAATTCCAAGCCTTTTTTTTTGGGTGTTGCCTTAACATGGCGCACGCCAATGTTCCCTCCTTGGCGTATCACATATGTATCCGTACCTACTCCGTAGAACAACTTACCCATGGATAAGGTACAGCGTAAATAGTAGATCGCCCAAGCGTCGTTGTCTCAACTTCTCAATGGCGTCGACTCCTTGCACCACGACTTGCTCCCCTGCCAACCTTCAAGGGCATCATTAACCTGCTCCCAACCCAGCGCGGTAGCTTAGCCTCAAGTTGGTCATAACAGCCGGTCACCCCTTTCCATGTAAGGACCGGACCCTTCGCAATGTTTTTTGCTCCTTGTTGGCGGAGCGCTATTACCAGCTCCTTCGAAATTCGATCGTATCAATGACAATGGCACCTACCAAGAAAGGCATCTTCGGATGTGGCAGATCCCACATCAGACGGTGATGAGTGTCGTCTTTGTCGACTCGTCTCCTGCACTCCGTAATGTCTTATTATTACTTATGCAAAGCATGCATTGGGGACTTCAACCTTGGATTGTCCATAAGGTAATCCAATGAACCTCACGTACTCTGTACAGCTAACTCCATACTGTACCTGTATGCATCTCCCACAGCGGGACCCTTTATTCAAGATTTGCAAATTCCATGGAGCGGAGTGTCTTAATAATGAGACCCTTACCGAGAAGGCCCCCACTGCCCAGCTTAAAGGTAGCTTATCCTACGGAGTATAGACAAGGGAACTTGTAGGTCTCGGTCAATGATTAACAGCCTAGGTACGGAGCAGAAATCACAAAAGCGTTGATCATGAATACAGCGTCTTGCACGCAGGTCTTGTCGAACAACATGAGACTCGATGCTACATCAGATCGCAGCAATCCCAAACTCGGATACCATAGGGAAGGGACCCAATTCATACTCGAACAAATAATGGTGAGAAATTGGAAAGAAACATTCTCACTGGGATGGCGCATTCCGTCACCAGTTTTCAGCTTTTGCCTTGTCCCGATGTTGTGGGAGCAAACTCTATGCCATTCCGGCAGGTTCGTCCATTATTGGTCTCAACATCAGATACCATAAACTGCAATTTATTTGCCCCCCTGTGGTCGTCCATTTTGCATAGCTCATCAACAGGCTAGACAGGCTTCCAGGGACCCTGTCTGTGCCCCTTTCACGGTTCACTGAGGCCCCACTGCTCCATAACTGATAGTGCGGTTGTGGTTGAGCCACAAGCTTCGTGTAGGACTCATTAACTTTATCACAGAATTACAAACCATTTCAAGCTGCACAACGACGACTTATCACATCGGTAGCATGTTGCTTGAACATCAATGGTGGATAGTGATAGTCCTGCCGATCAGCTGAAAATGTGATTCTTGCGGATTTACTACATGTCCGACTAACATGCTGTCAAGCCTGTCCAAAGGATAAAAGCAAGCACTGGCAAGGGTATTCTCGCTTTTACCTATCCTCCCGATGTGACAGCCTCGTTCACTTGCTTCAGGGTTCCACCATCAACGGTGCTTTGACGGCCGTTGCACCCGTCTTAACGAATCGCTCACTCAAGGCTCATCTCGCTCCTGGTACCACAAGGGTCTTCTCCGCCTATCATAAAATCTCGATGGGACGTGGATTATCACTGCAACTTCCGGGTGAACATCGCATTGGTCTATTCTGTGGAGATAATTTCCTAGTACTTCACAATATGCTCTTACTGGTAGGCTCTCTAAAAGCTGACTTCTGAGCTCCTACGATTTTTGTCAACTGCATATGCATGATGATTTGTTACCAATGGCGATAAGTGAACTTCGATGATAATGTGCCAGTACCTATTTGGTCATGCCACCACCTCAGACGGTTGTTGAGACAGAATTGGCTAGACGCAGCCATCTACAAATTGTTACTCCATGAACATGCCAGTCTGGATGACTGCGTCAGGCTCGCTAGGATCGTGTCCACTCAAGATCAACACTGCATATGCAGGCTCTCCCCTTTTCTTGCTCGTTAAAAGTCTGGCCTGGTCTGATCTAACATCGTCTTGCTTTTGTCTTTCATGCCAGCATGGCTAGGCCACATCCAGGTGGAAACCCTTCGCTTGTCTCACTATTCCCAAATGACAATCCCGGTTCAAAGCTCGATAACGAATGGGCAGCTCATGCCTGATGACTTTAAGCTTTGGGATCAATCCTAGAATAGGCATGAAGACAGCAAACATTCTCTTCCAATGAACGAGTTCTCGTGTATGACAAGCAAACTTTCCAGGGTTCAGATAAAAATGCATATGCTAGCCGGCTTGATCTCGAGCTCGTCTTGAGAACATATCTCTTTCTTCGTATGCATTTTATCATAAGTATAAA